AAAAAAAAGATGAAACAAAAATACAATAGAATCACACACAAAAAAAAGATGAGTAGATCGAAGGAAAAAATAAAGGCACCAAAAATAAAAGAGAAAAAAATTTGAAAAGACAAAATCGAGAAAAAGAAGAGAAAAAAGCTCAAATTTGTCCAACAATGGTGTTTGAGTGAAAATAAAGAAGAAAGATGGCCTTTAAAGGTCAAAATCTGACCGTTACTTTATTTTTAAGGCATCTCACGCTCTTACCTTGTGTGTATCACACGCTCCATGTGGAGTCTTTCCACATAGGATGCCACATCAAAAAAAGTGTTTAAAATATTGAGTTTGGATGGGTTCAGGGGTCCAGATGACAAAAGGATAAGTAGAAAGGTTCACAATACAAACAGATACAAGTACAAGGGTCCACCAGACCATTCTGCCGCATAAGAATGATGAGTTGCATAGAAATTTTTAAAAAGTGGGTTTAAAGAGCTTTGTGGGGACAAAATCTGGAGGATTGTCCCGTTAATGATAGGGCGGTGAGTCAGATTTGGATGTCTTCAAAAATCCACCTTATCCTCTTTACATATTAGAATGGAAAAATTCACTAAAATACTATTAAAGGGTATAAATTCAAATACTCATTTCGTTCTATTTTATGTGAATTTTTAGATTTTAATATTTAAATAAGTTTAATTTTTATCGTAAGTATTTTATAATTTTTTAAAAATATTTTGAATTATTAATTATTGTGATTTATATATTTTTTATGTAATTTATAAATATATAAATCTAAGATTCTATATATAAATTTCCAATTAAACTTAAATTATTTAATTCATCAAAAATAAAAAACATCACATAAATTAGGCGGAAAGCGAGTGAGTAATAATAGTGCTTATTATTATACACGTCAGTGATTATCCCCCCACACCCAGCCCTTCTCTATCCACTCACTCCTGAAAAGAAGGGTTGATCCTTGACCACAAATTTTAAAAAGCTATAAATTATATATATCTGTTTCCTCAGGTGAAGTTTGCTAGAAATTACGTCTTAAGAAAAATTTATTCTTATTTTACTTCAAATAATTTGGTGATATTAATTGTGATGGAAGGAGGAAAGGCAGTGGGTCCAATTAGTGAAGTGGAATGGGTGGTTGTGAATAGTATTTCCGATGATTTCTCTGAATCAAATTCTTCTTCTTCTTCTTCTACAGACATGGTAGATGATGATATATCGTCTTCTTTTGGGCCTTTGTATGAATTGTCTCAACTCATGGCTCAACTTCCCATCAAGTAAGTTCTATGTGTTCTTCATCCCCTTACCTCTCTTTATTTTATTAAATTTATTTCTTCCTTCAAAAAATGAGAAAATATAAAATAGTAAGACGACAAGTATGAAGTATAGAGATGTTTGCCGTGGTGATAGGTTGTGGGCAACATCACTATTACTGAATAAATAAAAAAATTTAGATCTGTATATATATTTTTTAAAATATTGATAATTATGAATTAAAATGAAAAAATTTATTTGTATTTTTTTTTGTAATGAATAATCAAATATGTTATTGATGGCGGCTTGGCACAAAAATGTCACTGTGGTGATTTTAGGTGGTGCTCCGGTGAGAATAGGGAAGACAAAGATAGAATAATTATTTTTCTTTAATGGATTTTTGATAAATTTAGGCAATATAGTCATGAATTTTATGCATAAATAAATCATAGGATTTTCACTAGAAGTTTTTTTTTTTCTTTAATGGTTTTTTGATAAATTTAGGCAATATACTCATGATTTTCAATGAACTTGTAATATTTAATATTATACAATTTTGTCACTTGTAATTTAAATGAATTTTGCAATTTGCAGAAGAGGGTTATCAAAGTATTATGAAGGGAAGAGTCGTTCATTTGGGCGTTTGGGAAGTGTGATGAGCCTTCAAGATGTTGCAAAGGAAGGGAAGAGAATGAAGTCAAGTAAGAGCATTACATCATCATTTGCTCCAAAACCTACTATTAAAAAAAAGTCTTATTCAACAAAACATATCTTATGATCTAACTCTCCTATTTCTTTACAAACAAATTTCTAGTATTTAATTAATTAGGAACTTTACCAATACCATGAGTTGTAAATATTCAAAGGATAATGAGGGAAGAGCTTTGCACCCGTGTATCTCACTTTGCTTCCACTCCCTTGTTTCAATTTGTGTCCATTTTGATTAAGGTGAGGCAAGTTGTGGGGTTTATGGTGAATTTAAATTTAATTTTAATTTTTTACATGTTATAAAAATGATAGAGCACCATTCACTAAAAAGAATGTACAAATCTCAAGACAAATTCGTTATTTTTTATTCAAATTCGAAATAATTGAAAATTTCTTTAAAGTTACTAAAATATTTAAGATAGTAAATTGAAATAGTTCAATTAAAATTAATATAGTTCAATCTATTAAAGTAATACAATTTAATGATAAAATAATTTTATATTTATAATTTTTTTTTAGTATTAAACTTAATGAAAAAAAGAAAAATATTGAAAAATTTATGCGGAGTGGAGTGGGTTGAAAATGAAAAAAGTTATTATACTCAGTGGAGCGGTTAAAATGTATATGGGTTAATCTCAATCTGCCCTGCACGCCTGCCTGATTTTTAACTTTTTACATGTTATAAAAATGTTAGAGCATCGTTCAGTAAAGAATGTATAATTTTCACGACAAATTCATTATTTTTTATTCAAATTAAAAATAATTGAAAGTTTCTTTAAAGTTACTAAAATATTTAAGATAATAAATGAAAATAGTTTAATTAAAATTAAGATAGTTCATTCTATTAAATTAATACAACTTAATGATAAAATGGTTTTATATTTATAAAATTTATTTTTAGTATTAAACTTAATGAAAAAAAAGAAAAATATTGAAAAATTTATGCGGAGTGGAGCGAGTTGAAAATGAAAAAAGTTATTATGCTGAGTGGAGCAGTTAAAATGTACTCCCTTCGTCCCATTTTATATGTCACATTTTTACTTTGCACTTACATTAAGAAATGATGTAACTTTACCCTTTTTACCCGTATTTTAATGTTTTCTTAAGTCAACTTTATTAATAAATGACAAGATTAATTAACTATTCTATCAAGGGTATAATAGGCAAAATATGGTAATTTATGCATAAAATTTTACAAAATGACAAGTATTGTGGTTCAACTATTTATAGAAAGGGATGACATATAAAATGGAACGGAGGGAGTATATGGGTTAATCTCAATCTGCCCTACACCCGCGCTGCACTGCCTCATTTTTAACCTTTACATGTTATAAAAATGATAGAGCACCATTCAGTAAAGAATGTACAAATCTCACGACAAATTCGTTATTTTTTATTCAAATTAAAAATAATTGAAAGTTTCTTTAAAGTTACTAAAATATTTAAGATGGTAAATAAAAATAGTTCAATCAAAATTAATATAGTTTTGACTTCTAGAAAAGGAAATTTTAAATCGTTATCTGTTAAATTAATACAACTTAATGATAAAATGATTTTATATTTATAAAATTTATTTTTAGTATTAATTTCCTCATCCGTTTCATATTTTTTATCTTGATTTTCACCAAAACTGTAGTGAATAAAATTTGAATTTCCAACTTGTAAATGTGGAACATTTTAAACATTGAGTTACCATCAAATCTTTCGTTCAGAGATTTATATATATTTAAAATTCTTTAATTTTTATTGAAAGGACTTGAATCAATACCTAAACTCTACCAATTCCAAAATTTATTGTTGTGTTTAAAATTATACGGAAAAAGGGCCTAAAATACCCTTTAACTATGTGAATTGGTACAAAATTACTCTTTTTCTATCTTTCGGGCCAAAAATGTCCTTGACGTCAATCTTTTAGCTTTATTTTGCCCTCATTTTTAACATACCAAATTTTATTAATAACGTGTCACTATTTTATTGGTAATGTAACTAATTAAAAACCCATAAACCCAGGCAAAAAAGTTTAACCCACATGTATTTATCGGAAATTGGACAATTCCTCTGTGACAATGTCAGTGGCATCGAAAAATTTCTCAGGCAATAACTCAGGCAACTATATATGCCTCAGGATGTTGAAGAGAAGCAAAGATGGAAGTGTTGCAAGAAGCGGATTATTTTTATCAGCCTCTTGTGGCAACGGTGAGGACATTGAGGAGTTGTCTATTGATTTGAATCAAGAACCAAAAGAAGATGCCAACTTTTGTTGTCATCAAGAATTGGATGATCATGATAAAGTTCAAGTTGATGCTTTTCTAGAATTGGAAGAATGTTTATTGATTTCGAGGAAGAGAGGATGTCCATTCTTGAGCAGCTAAAGATGTTGGAAGAAAAGCTTATATCTATGGATGATGAAGATGCAAAAGAATTCGTGGATGTTAGACCAATGGACAATTTGTATAGAGAGAATGGAGATCATACAGAGGAAAATTCCTGTTTAGATGGAAATATAACTGAACATGCCAATGATTTGTTCAGTGAAATGAATGGGAAACTAATTATCACTGCAAAGGGACTTCTTCCACTTTTTGATGCAATGAGTGACGAAAACGGAGATGTTATGATAAATGGACATGAAAATGGCTTCCATTCCAATGGCGTTGATGAGGAAAACAAGAAGCTAGATGTTATGAAAGTTGGGTTAAAAATGGGTGGGCTTTTTTGGGTGGGTATATGAGTTTTTAATTAGTTAAATTAATTATTAGGGTACCTAATAAAATAATGACACGTCATTAAGGAATTTGAGCTGTTAAAGATGAGAGCAAAATAGAGCCAAAAGGTTGAGGTCAAGGATATTTTAGGCCCGAAAGGTAGAAGAAGGGTAATTTTGTACCAATTCACATAGTTGAAGGGTATTTTGGTCCCTTTTCCGTATAATTTTAAACACAATAATGAATTTTGGAATTGGTAGAGTTTAGGTATTGATTCAAGTCCTTTCCATAAAAATTAAAGAATTTTAAATATATATAAATCTCTGAACGCAAGATTTGATTGTAACTCAATGTTTAAAATGTTCCACATTTACAAGTTGGAAATTCAAATTTTATTCACTACATTTTTGGTGAAAATCAAGATAAAAAACATGAAACGGAAATGAGGAAATGGAGAAAAATTATTTTACCAGATTACGTCCATCCAATGTCAATTAATAAAGTCTTAACTGCTGTTAATGTAAAGAAAAAGATAATTTTCAAAAATCTTTCCAACTTTTAAGGTAAAAATCAATATTTTAAAAAGTCGTCACGTAATATTTTAAAAGAAATTCTGAAATTTTGTAAAAATAATTTCAAAAAGACTTAAAACAGGAAAAAAAACTTTTTATTCCAACAAAAGGGTATATAAGGTTTTTATTTTATTTCAAGAAGGTTTTAGCACTTGAAATATCTACTAACACGCGATTATCTGATTATTTGAAAAAAAAAATCATTTGACTAACTTTCAAAGAATTTAGAGACATATAAGCATAAACTTGAAAGAAACGTTTAAAAACAACTTACTAAATATCAAAACTTTGCTGAATATACTAAGTATGAATCATAAGTTTAAATAAAACATCTGAAACTGAAAGACTCCAACCGTCTATCTATGAAGTCTCTACTATACAAAGAATAGTGTCGGGACAAGACCCACGATTCCTCAAAAAAACTACTACTAACAACTCATAAAATTGGAGTACTCCGAAAGTAAGGAGGTCTCACTCATAAGCAGACTAGTAGATGAAGTGATCTCAACAGACTCTTGTTGAGGATTCTAAGAACATGTATCTGTATATTTAAAAGATGCAGGTCGAATGACATCAGTACATTGAATGTACGAGTATGTAATATAGGTGAATAACAAATAACTGAAAGAAAGGACTGCAATAGATAATAATGTACTCAAGCTGAATGTAAAGAAATAAAGGAGTTAAACAATTTAAAACTTTACAAAATACCCTCTCATCTTTGAGCTCAACATAATAAGTGATATATAAAAACACACTTTAACTCTATTGAGAGATTCTCTAACCGACAACTATCATTATGAACTACGTGATGATACAACGTTTCGCCCACGCTGCCAGAACTGTCCTATATCTTGCCGGGGTATAGAACACCTCAACTAAGTGGATCCACTAAGCTCTGCCCGAAGGCACTTAGGATTCATCTAAAAAGTATGATCATGTACCCATATTGGCATAAATGGTTTATGAGGAATGTGAGTTGTCTGAAATCATCTCCATATCGGTGCTCAATACTACTCCCTTGCCTTCTTTTCCAAGGATCAAATCTCTTGGGTTGCCATCTCTTCACAAAAATGATTCAAGCCTAAACACTATAAATATGCTCCATCTACAAATGGACAAAGATATACAATCAAGTCTGAATCATCTCAAACACTCCCTACTCTACTTTTGATAAGCATTGTATTACTTAGTTTTACTGTGTAAACAAAAAAAAAAAAGAGAAATATTGTTGGTAAGGTGTTGTATCAAAACAAAAGAGAGAAAAGAAACTGAGTGTAAACTGTGAAGTCACACTCAATTCTGTACACACATCAAAAGTTACCAAGTCTAGAAGAATACCCTTGCAACCCAAGGGGACTGGACGTAAGATCCACTTTGGATCCCAACCAGTATAAAAATTCTTGTGTCAAGTTTACTTTTTGCATTTTTCAATTCTATTTATTCCTGTTAGCAAATTGTAGTCGACTGAGGTGTCTCTCAAGTCAACTATCCACAACAGAAAATAAAAAAAAATAGCAATTCACCCCCCTCTTGCACTTTCAATTGGTATCAGAGCCTCGTCTCACAAAGAACTGTCTAACAACAGGTGAGAAAAAAATCACGGCACAACAAATCATGGGCGCATTATTCCAAGAAGGAACATCTCAAACCAGACCTCCATACTTTAATGGAAAACACTTTTCCCATTGGAAAGTGAGAATGAAGACCTTTATAAAATCCTATGACATAAAGGTCTGGAGAGTTATCAAGCTTGGTGATATTCAAATTCCAACAAATTCTGATGGAGGTCAGTCTACTGCTACACCAAGTTTGGAGAACTACACTGATGAACAAATGGAAGTCATCCAAATAAACTCCAAAGCCAAAAATGTTTTGTATAATGCAATTAGTGGGGAAGAATATGAAAAGATCTCT